ATGTTGTTTGATGAATGGTAAGCTTAGAGCCCGAGGGGATTGTCTAATGTCGCAATTAGGATTTGGTAATATAAAATTAGGACATCAATAGTGAGTTTAGGACTTATACTAAGATATATAAAGCATGATTATGCAGGGTAGGTTTGCTTGATCAATATAGGGTGGGATCTTAATATTATATCAAAGTTAGGATTTATAGGGATATTTGAGAGAATGGAAAAGGATTAATTAATTAAGGGGGGAATCTAATTCTGATTTGTTTTCATCATTGTGCTCTTAAAAAATGAATAATATATTTGTTTCTCAGCATAACATTATCAGTCTATGTACAAGCATTGGTTCACCGGAATCTGATGTAACCATTTTCGAGCTTCATGATTAATATGGCAAATTACATATTTAGTACATAAACTATCAGTTTTAGTCTCTTTTGGTACATGTACTTTCATTTTATCAAAAAATATACTTAAAGTTTAGTTTTTGTTTCATTCTAGTACCCCGCCGTTAAAAACTTTAATTTTTGTTCATTTTAGTACATTTGTTCAAAATTTAACGTTAAGTTTTGAAAAGAAATTATAAGTTTAAGTACTAAAACATACCAAAACTGGTAGTTTAGGTGTTAAATACATAGTTTATCCTTGAAAAGACTACATATATGTCATAAGCAAAATCGATGACAAGCCCATGGTTGTTGCCATCTAGAGCCAGGTCAATTAACTGCATAGGTTTCCTATCTAATTGCTTGCCTTGTTTTTCCATCAAGTCTTTTTTGGAATTGCATATAATTTCCATTAAAAAATCACAGGATTGGCTAGCAGTGTGCAAAAGAACAAGAGATTGAATTAGAGAGAGCATCCCTTTCATGGGGGGTTTTAGATGTTGGCATCTTCTGCCTACGCATGAATTTCTTTGGAAAAAGGATCCACAACTTTAGGGTACATCAAATGTTTTCTTCACCTAGCTTTTCAGCCCAATTGGACATTATAACCCCACCCAAAACCCTATTTTTTACACTGTTTAGGGGATTTTTTTTTACTATTTTGTGCCCCTTACTGCATCATTCTGTTGGAGAAAAGGTAAGGTGATTATGCGGTGCGATAAGTTAGTTTAAGGTTAAAAAATAATCACTTTATATAGTATTTTAGGTTACGCTTAATTTAAACTATTGTATTATTCCTAATATTTTCAGTTAAATCTAAAATATTACAAAGAATATATTATGAAAAAATGTAACATTTTTAGTTCAACCGAAAATATTAAGAACTTAACATTTTTAGTTACGTCCAATCTAAAATATTATATTTTTAGTTCATCGTTTTTTAACTTTAAATTAAATTATATCTCCTCAAACTTACTTAATATTCCACCAAAGCTCAAAGGGGCAGTTTTACAGTGCGGCATCTTAATATAAGATTAAAATAAGGTGGTACCAGTTTTGTTATTGTTTAAATAATAAAATCGGTAAAAAATTACTTGTAATATTATAATTTTTACCTAAAACATCGTTTTTTAACATTTCCAGTCATTTTTTAACTCCTAGTAATGTTTTCGGTAATTTTTTAACACCTAATAATGTTTCCAGTCATTTTTTAAAAAATCTATTTAAAACCCCAATAATAACAAAACCGATCATTTTTTTAGTGCCTAATAATGTTTTCGATCATTTTTTACCGATTTTATTATTATATTTTAACCTTATATTAAGACTATCGCACGTGAACGTTTCCACTCAAAGTGAAAAAAGCGAAGAGAAAATGAAACTGATTATATTCCCTCCACCCACCCATGTCGATGCCAGGGATATATGTTCACTTTAAAGGTGAAAAACAAAAGGCATATCTACTTTCATCATGCTCTTGTTGGCCATGATTTCACCACAAAATGTTCAAGGATCATTTCAATAGTAAAGTGGGGAAAACCCCATGGACTACATATGTAATTTAGCATTAGTTTTATTTTAAATGTGGGACTACATATGTAATTAATATTAGATAAATATAATAAAATATTTATTCAAAGATAATTTTAAATTAATCATCCTAAACATATCATGATTTTCCCGAAAAATAACCTTCCGTGCCATTATTTTAATGTCAGGCACTGTTCAGACTATATTTCTCGATCTAACACCCTTTGCAGAAAGGCGCCACCTACACCGCGCTTACGCTGATCAGGCGCCACGTTGGGTAAAACGCACCCCTTGCAACGCCTCTTGTTAAACGTGTAAAAAATCTAGGTGTTAGTTTTGTAAATAATTTTAAACTGGTGCCAAATATGTATCTAATTTCTATTAGGGTGATATTTGTGTAAAAAAATCAACTTTATCTATTTATTTTTTTGTGATATTATTTTTAACAATAGTTAATAATGTTTATTGACTTTTAAAATTAATTGTTTGAAAATATTAAAATATTAAAATAAACTTTTAATTACAATTGAGATATCAAATAAATTATTATTCAATTTTTTCAAAATAAATAAAAATGAATTTAAAAATGAATAAAATTCAATAAAAATATAATGTAAAGCTAAAATACATCACCTCTTTATTTAAAACATTCTATCTAATATTAATCTTAAAAAATATAAAATAAATATTAAATTTTAATTTTATTAAAAATGATTAAACATTATTAAATGTGTTAAAAATAATAATTAATGAATAATAATTCATTTAATCCCTCAATTGTAATTAAAAGTTTATTTTAATATTTTTTTATATTTTTAAACAATTAATTTTAAAATAATATATTCTCAAGACCTAAAGTCAAGTTTATGATTGTTAAACAGTCGTAGGTGTGGAAAGCTACATGGATCGAATGAAAATTCAATCGTACAAAGTCAATAACTCAAAATTGTCTAATTGTTGTCTAAATATCAACTCAATTATACCACAAATAAACATTCGATCAAAGAGTTGATATTTTCTGCTCAATCTTCATAAAAACTGTTTTGTCTCATCATTTTCTCTTCCGTATGAGCTCCTTTCTTTTTATAACATTCATGCAAAAGAATATACGTATTGTGTAATTTCATGCAAAAATCAAAATTTGTCGAGTTATAAAATAATTTGCAAAAGAAGATTTAAAAGTATTTTAAAATATGAATAATTTTATAAAAGGTTTTATAATTATTATTTCTTTTACAAAATGATGATGATAATAAATATTTTATAATTTAAAAAATTATAAATTTCATATATTTTTGAAAAAATTATTAACTTTTAAAATTAATTGTTTAAAAATATAAAAAATATTAAAATAAACTTTTAATTACAATTTACTTTTGCAATAAAAGTCAGTATACTTTTGTTTTTTTTGTGTGCACGTGGGTAACTATATTCAACAAAAAAGAATTGAAAAATAAAGGAGCTCATTCGCAGGAGAAAATGATGAGACAAAATAATTTTTGTGAAGATTGAGCAGAAAAGATCAACTCTTTTATCAGATATTTATTCGTGATATAATTGAGTTGATATTTAGACAACAGTTAGACAATTTTGAGTTATTGACTTTGTACGATCGAATTTTCATTCGATTCCTGTAGCTTTCCACACCTACGACTGTTTAACAATCATAAACTTGGCTAAAATAAACTTTTAATTACAATTGAGGGATCAAATGAATTATTATTCATTAATTATTATTTTTAACAAAAGTTAATAATGTTTATTCATTTTAATAAAATTAAAATTTAATGTTTATTTTATATTTTTTAAAATTAATATTAGAAAGAATATTTTAAATAAAGAGGTGATATTTTTTAGTTTTACATTATATTTTTATTGAATTTTATTCATTTTTAATTCATTTTTATTGTTTTTTTTATTTATTTTTTTAAAAATTGAATAATAATTCATTTGATCTCTCTCAATTGTAATTAAAAGTTTATTTTAATATTTTAATATTTTAAAAAAATTAAATTTTAAAATTCAATAAACATTATTAACTGTTTTTAAAAATAATATCAAAAAAATAAATAGATAAAATTGAAGTTTTTTATAAAAAAAATATCACCCTAACAGAAATTAATTACTTATTTGACATCAGTTTAAAAATATTTACAAAACTAACAGCCATATTTTTTACACATTCGACAAGGAGCGTTACAGGGGGCGCGCCTTATCCCACGTGGCGTAAAACGCGATACATGGGTACGCCTTTCTGTAAAGGGTCTTAGATCAGGAAATATAGTGTGAACGATGTCTGATAAGGAAATAAAGGCGCTGAAGGTGATTTTTCGGGAAAATGACCAATATATCACAATCAATTCTAACTTTGTAAAAAAATAATTATGAAAAAATAAAGTTTAAATAAAAAATAAAACTCATATTTATTAACCATCAGTATTTTTTTCTTTTAATTTACATCGGCAGTAATTTTATTTATTTATATATATATATATATTTAATTTATTCTGAAAAGTATATTTGTTTCAGACTCAAACAGCCCAATAAGCTGAAGCCTACTTGGATTTGGACGAATGATTTTTGACGTAGGTCTATATTAAGTTAAATTTAAATATTTTTAATAATAATTATTGGATAATTATTTGGTTCGTGGAAGTGAACATTTTCAATTTGAAAATAAATTATTATTTAATATATATTATTATACAAAAAAATCACAAACAATATTTAAATAATGTGAAATATTTTGTAATTTATTTTTGAACTTGGGCTGCAAGGAAATTCAAACGTAAAGGGTCAAAGGAGGTCACAAAACGACACCGTTAAGGCTCTCAGCACCATCACCCTTTTCTTCGTCTTTCACATTTTCTCGAGATATTTTTAGGGTTTCACTCTGCCGCAACTTTTGTTTATGGTGCGTTTTCTCCTCTCAAATTTTCTTATTCATTACTGTTTTGATATTATTATTGATATAATTCATGCATTCTTGGTGGATGTTAAATAATGATCATACTTTTAATCAACTCTTAATTAATGGCTGTTAGCTCTTTTTTTTTTTATAGGATAATTCAATTCTTTTTTATTTTGTTTTCTTGTCCCGTTTTTAAGACGGATTTGAGATTGTGATCTACCTTTTTCCCCCTTCTTTTGTGGATCCAATTGATTCATGGGTATCTCAGCTTATCTTAAGTCCTACACGGGATTTTAGATGATCTATGTTTGTAATTAATTTCTGGGTATTTTCAGATCTTTAATTTATATCCTTTCCTTCTTTGGGTCAAAATGTTGTATATTTTATGAATTTAGATTTTGTTACTAAATTGATGTCCATAATACAATTTTAGTTTCTGTTTGTCATTGTTTTGTGTAGATCATGATGATAGTTGAAGAAAAAGAATTGTTTTTTTAGAAATTATTTTCAATTTTTAGGTTTTAACTCCTGCAACTTGATTCCACCATGTAAATAAATGCATAGTTATACTATAATTCTTAATTCTATAATGCAGGAACGAATGTTATGTCTAAAATGAATTTTATGCTTGATCTCAATGATATCAAAGCTATCTTGACTAGCTTCTGTTATCAAAATTTACACTTGATTGGAGATTGGATTTGAAGTTGATCGAGTTTAAAACTTTTGAAACGATGATTATTTTTCTTAATTGTTGTATGTTTAGTTCAGATTTACTATTGTTGTATGTTTAGTTCAGATTTACTATCATTTAGACGAAGTGATTCCTACCGGAATAATCATGGATGCAAATTGTTTTGGAGTCTGAGTTGTTGTTCTTTATCTATTAACAGCTATAGTCGGATCGTGATGGTGAAGGCATATGCACAAGAGCACATTTACAAGCATCCATGGGAGAGAGTAACGTCTGCTTCTTGGCGTAAGTTTGCTGATCCTGAGAACAAGCACACCTTGTCTCATATCCTTGAAGTCGACACCTTGAATCACAAACTCGATCCTCTCTCTGGTAAGCTCTACAGTACTCGGGCTCTTACCATACATGCTCCGGGGCCATTGTTTGTTCGCAAAATCATCGGCCAGGATATCTGCCACTGTGTAGAATCAACAGTTGTTGATGCCCAATCTAAGTCGATGCAACTCACAACACGTAATGTCAGTCTTCAGAAGTTTATAGAGGTAGAGGAGAAGATACGGTATGATCCTCACCCAGAAAATCCAACAGGATGGACTGTTTGCCGACAGGAGACTAGTATTTGTATTAAGCCATTATCGGCTCTTGCGTCCATGGCTGAAAAAGTGGAGCAGCGATGTGCCGAGAGGTTTATGCAAAATAGTGTCAAGGGTCGAGAGGTAATGGAGAGGATCTGTAAGTATCTTGAAGCTGAATCTAGAGGGATGGCTCTATGAGTCTCACTTTCACTTTCTGCACTTGAAGCCTCAGCTGCTTCTCTCATACAGTAGGAAATAACAGAAGAATGTAAGATGCAGAAACCTGGAAGGTCTAGGTTTAATTTTGAATGCCCTTTTTAGACTTGGTGCAATTTTTGGTGTAGTCCATATCTAATTTGGGATTAAGATTCAATTTACTTTGCCAGATGATGTTTGGTTTAATGACTGAATGATTCAAATTGCTATGCAATTATTAAACAAGACCCATCTATTATGGAAATGGATAGCACATCAACTGCATTAATTTGATGGTAAACACAGGTTGATGGTGAAACTAAGCTATAAATAGTATGAAAGAGGGATGAATTTAAATGATTTTTTTAAATTTTCGTCCTTGACAATCTTTCAAAGCACAAGCCTTCTTTACTTTGAGTTTGCATCACACATTTTCACACTACACAATCACTCAGTCATACACCAAACTTTCACAAAAGCTTTCATGAACTTGAGTTTCCTCTTTGACCAAATATGATAGAGGCATGGCCATGTATTATCACTTTAATATTAATATTCTTAACAAATTATTTAATAATAAAATAATTTCAGTTGACAGGACACTTTATTTTGAAATAGTTTCATTTCTACTAGACTTTCAATTCGTTTTTCTAATTTCAAGACAAATCTATGACCATATTATTTAATAATTATGTAAGAAGCAAAATTTTCTTTATGTTGATAAACCAAAAATAACATAAATGTTGTTACTTTGGGTTTCCCTACAAAATAACCTGAACAACTTACGAAACGCGATCAAAAGAAGAGCTAAGAGGTCAAGACGAAAATTTATCAATGACCCAACCCATAATCAAAAGTTTAGGACAATGGGATGAAGGCTGGCATAGAATGGATGAATGAGGAACGCCAAAAAAAAATTGATGAGATTTTGAATCAAGCTAGACACACTTGTAGATCATGCATCAATAAAATCAATCAGGACATCCATCATCATCCATGTTCTTCTCCATAATATAGACAACTACCATCAAAATTGTGAATACTTTATGGGACACGAACATTCGAAGATTACTATGAAGCCGAATGGTCCACGGTTTCCAATGGACAAAAGCACCGTTTCTTCTTAGTTTCGATGGCCAACCCCAAAGTGAAACCTCTTTGCATGTTTGTCATTAAAAGCATATTCAAGTCGCAGAGGCCCTAAAGGTGAGTCCACTCGGATCCCAAACCCATATCCATAGCCACTTCCAGGCTTATATCTTGCCCCCGCAGGATCACCTGAATAACACAAAAAACAAACAGATTCATGGGAAACAAAGGATGTTAGAAAGGACACAGAATTCACAAGAAACGAAAATAAAAAATGAAGATTAACCAAAAAGGACTTACCAGGCACATTGGGTCCTGACCATAAATCATGCCCGTAATCAGCAAATATAACTCCTTCCACAGGCCCCAGCTGCACAATAGCAAAAAATACAAATCAATGCAGCATCTAGGTTATCTTTTTTATTTAATTCTCATCCTCCAATGGCTAGATTCTTGTCTCCCTATAACCTTATCAAAAATCCGAGTTCCATAAAAAAAAGGTAAATATCATCATGCCCGATATGGCTCTGCTGAATAGTCTTTAAATACTAGCCTAGGATCAAGGAATTCAACATCCTTCCAGCAAGCACATTATATCCATGAAAACAACAAAAGATGAGGTGGAATTAATATTCACATACCATTGGGAAAGAAACTTCACTTGAGCCAACTACATAAGATCGTCCAGAGCCTACAGCACCTTCTTCGTAACCTCTCACGCTGTTAGTTCCACCGATAGCAAATGCTTCATGAGGAGAAAAATTTCCCACCACATGCCCACCAGACAAACTAGCAATAAAAAACAGAGCAAGTCAGCACAACTCTCTCCTCTTCAATTTCTCTCTTTCGAGAAATAACGAAGCTCAGGGTAAAACCAAGCAAGAAAACTTTTGAAGTCAGAAAACAAATAGAGAAAACAAGAGTTTATAAACCACGATAACCATAATATGTAATTCCTTGTATACAAAAAATAAAGATGATAAGGCGATAAGCATAATACCTTAAAAGAAGGCGAGTTGGAGCAATTTCAACACCTTTTCTTGCCCGAGCATTCACTCTGTTGAAAAACAACCACTCAGGCATGATGGGAAGTCCTTGTTCCATGTTAAATGCAAACTGCAAAGGTAACAAAAAGTCAGGCCCATCCATATTATAAGTGATGAAAAACCACATGGTGTAGATGCTAACCATGGAGGAACCTTGATCACCAGAACCAGTATAGACACTTTCAAATTTTGCCAATAACATATCGTCATAAGGCTTACCACTACATTAAGATTTTAATACAAGGTTAAAAGCAAGAAAATAAAACCAAAAAAATCATAACAGTAATTAATGAAGTGAAATAAATCTTATGGAAGCTATACAACACCAGGCATCAGACATACAAACCTTGCAGTAAGTGGGCTGCCATAGAAGTCCTTGATAATTGGATTTCCTTTATCATCACGAGCACCAGCGTGCTGCATATTCAAACATCATAAATAAATCATATAACTGAAACATAAACCACAACCCCCCAAAATATCAAATTCAGAATAACAACTAAATTTTAGGAACTACTTGGTTACAAACTTCCCTTTGAAGAAAACCCAGAACAAGAACCTAGCAGTCAGAAAAATAAGCTATGGGTTGAAGTAACAAGCTCTACCTGAAAAATAAGACCAGCTGTTCCACTCCATTTTGGCCTGAGCGGTCGACTAAACTCTATACCAGCTGTTACACGACCAATACTCAGACTGCTATTGTCATGTTGGTTACCATGCACAAGTGTCCCTGGGGTTCTTGAATTCTGTAAAAAGAAATGTTCAAGATAGTAATCAATCTCCCAATACAATCATTTGAAAAAGTAAAAGCAAAACCCACCTGCACAATTATTGTTCTAGACGTCCTCTTGTCGTCTCCCTCAATCCATGGGTCTGTGTAGTTAATGCGGAATATAGAGTCAATTTGGCCCCTCTCTAAGGAAATATTAAGCTTTTGGTTTCTTCCAAACAAATTTCTATGAGAATATGCAAAGCTGCACATAGGAAACAACAGATGAGACATGATACACTGCATAATACATGTCATCAGATTTAGCAGACCCTAAATTTCTCTCCTTTGCCTCAATAACAATAGGGAAGGAAACAAGAAATGCTGAAGGCTCAGAGTGACATAACAAGATGAGATATGTGGTTGCATGTAAGAAAGTTTACGCCTAAGGAAGTTGAATAGAATAAGAAGCCACAATGAAAAGAAAACATAAAAGCTTCCAATAAAATCCACCATTATGAATATTATTCTGTCATTTAGTACCAAAACGTACCCTGGTTCTGTAACATACAACCCCAAGAAAGCAACTTCTAGTGTATCAATTACTATGCACATTATCACTCGATGAGAATCATTAAGAAATAAGCAACCAAAGTCAACAAGATTCAACCAAAGGAATTGATATGGGCTCTCACAACCAATGCAAAGCCAACTTAATTCTCAAAATGATAGGGCACTAAGGAACGAGAAAACCTACTTGTTGCTTGGCTTTTCACTCAAATTTATTCCAGAAAACTTTCTTGCTTGTATTATAGAGTAATGAAAAATACTGCACATTTCTGATATTTATGAGTGGTGGAACAAATTAACGAATGTGAATTACATCCCATTCAAAAAAGGAATTTGCTCCCAAACGCATGAAAAGTTAAATGAGATGAAACTTATCATTTGCATGCACAAATCAAAATGAACTGCAGAAGAAGGGTGGATTGAAAAAATGGAATCAGACAGAACTGAAATTTGCCACGTTACCTTCCAATAAGTCCTGATAGAGGGCCACTTGTAATCCTACAAAATTATACATCACTAGCATAAATATTATTTAAGACATGCCAACCAAAAATAAATATAGGTTTTGGTAACTAAATTAGGCAAGGACATAAGCTAGAACATGTAGTATTGCAATTTAAACGCATGACATACCCACTTGATATTCCACCACCAGCAGAAAAACCACCACTTGGACGTTCAACAACATTCATTATCAAATCAACTTTACCAGCATCTACAATGTTGACAATCGGAACAACAATAGACAAATAAATACATAAGAAATGTCTGACAATGTTAACATAAAACATATTTAATTACAAACTATATCCAAAAAAGGTAGCCTATCATCTGATGCCTATTGAATCAATTAGCGTCAAATCCTGTAAAGGAAAATTAAATGTATTCCACTGGTTTCAACTTCCAACAAAAGCTTTACACAGCAATTACAAAGCAAATAATATTAATTGGCTAGTACTAATGTTTGTTATAACATCATTATAGGTATGTTATATAGCATAATACTTAGTTACTTACTACCAGAACAATAATAATCTGTAATAAAATTCATTAGACAATCTTGCATTCTTGCTATTGCATTATGTCTCTGAAAAATCAGCATTAACCAGTTAAGGTCCTCAGCATAAAATAGCCAACCAAATACTCACAAGGGCATTGTACATAAAATATAACATTTTCAGGAACTAGCTTAAACATTCTTTCAACCAGCAAAGAATACCTCAGAACAGAACATGCAATTCTTTTCAAGATTCATTCAAAGATGCATTCACTCACCCCCAGCTGGTTGAGGAATGATACTGACATCTGCCATGAGACCCATAGTTGACACCGTATCCACATCTCTTTTTCCTTGAAGCATACTATACACCTGTAGGAGGATGGTTCAAAGGAAGCAACACAAGATAGTTGGGACAAATTTTGCTATCCACAAGCACTCTTCCTTGACCAAAATATATCTATATGACTCATCATCAATAAAACACCTATGCAAGTAACAAAAGCTAGACATAGGGTCACACCTGTCCCTTCTTGGTTGTGAGTTGCCTAAGTATCGTTTCAGGCTTTGTCTTCCCTTTAGTTGGTTCTCCACTGAAGCAATTACAAGCATTTCAGGTCATTATTTTCTAATCCTAACAAACTTAAAAGTCTGATATGCATGTTTGAGAGAGTCGCGAAGCAAACTGAAGGAAGCTTCTTACGTCTTTCGATCAAGGAAACGTATGGATATATTATTGACCTCGGCTTCTGCAACTTGTAACTTTATAATACCTCCAGAAAAAATATCAACTCCAGAAACCTATAAGGTCAAAGAACAGTTAATAGAGCATGGTTGTACCAAAGATTAACGAAGAGTACAACTGCATCCCCAAATTAAAGAACCATGCACGGCAAAGTACTAACCAAGCCAAAAAGACCACGTTCCATATACCATCCATTGATAGAATTAATTACTTCATCCAAACGCTTGAGATTTACAACTTTTCCTGCACAGCTTGACACCAAAAGTGAAAATAATGAAGGCCTCCTATGACCAGAATTAAGAAGCAGCTCATCAAGTAAATCATCTAAATGTAAATCCATCCATACTGAAGAATGCAAAAGAAAAACTTACCATGTGCATCACGAAAAGCATCCTCGAGAAACTTTGATGGAAGAACATTGGCCCCTTCACAGACCAATCCGTGGAACTCCTGATTTGGCTCTACCTTATGCCACAAGAAGCCAATGTCAACCCAATGAATATTATGTTTCTATACGTGCCAAAGTTGGTTGGCATGTAATTCCCAAAACCGGAGTGAAATGTACAGCTAACAACAAAAAGAAATTATGACACAAGAAAGACAAGCCAAAAAGAGCATCTATCATTTCACCCACCCACTCCCTAGGACTATGAGAGTATCTAATTATATGAAGTTTCCACAGCGACACTCTATGAAGGAAGGCGGCACAGAGCGGGAAATTCTCCAATTCCCCTGAATTCTAACAGAAAAGATTAAACTAGTGCCAGAGAGATCACTAGCTAAGCCCCCACAAGTAGAAATGTTACATTGATGGTAACCAGCGACCAAAAACATACTCAATTATGACTGCAATTCGGAGCAATTAAAAGAGAAATGAATGCAGGACAAATATATTATACGCATTAAACTTCTAAACATCTATGATAACATACTTGAAACACCAATCTGATACCATCCCGCGTGTCAACAGCCACGGGCATACAGGAGGAGAAGTAGCCGCTATCAATGATCCGATGAACATCTTCCTGGACCTCCCGCACAGTCAATGCTGAGTTGGCTCGGCAAGCTTTCAACGCGGTAAGGGCTTCCATTTCAAGGTCTTTCCGCTCCAACTCCTCTCCATCTTTGTTCCTGACGAGAACCTCGCTTATCAAAACCCTCTCCTCGTCGTATCGACCGGCAGCAGTCGACTGTCCCTTCTGAGGCACCTCCAACCCGGACTGAGCGGAGTCGGGCGAACTCGGCTGGGACAAAGACAAGGAGGCAGAACATAACAGAGGCGATTTAGAAAGGTTGTCGCTCGGAGTGGTTAGCGACAGTGACGCACAGCAGAGTAGGGGAGAGTCTCTGAGAAGCGAGTGAATTCCGAAGGCGGAGTGAGTGGATGCGGCGGTAGGATGATTTTTGAGAAAATTGGAGCGATTCCTGAGTGAGTGAATGAGTTGGAACACCGAGTGACGAGCTCTGGAGAGGTGACAGGCTAGGGTCTGTGAGAGAGAATGGTTGGAAGAAGGGATCTTGAAAGATGAGGAGGTGAAAAGAACGCCGTCGTTGCGAGGCATCGCGGATGCAAGTATAACTGGAGAAGAAGAAATGAGAGTGAATTTGATTCTTCAATCAACAATTTCTGGGGGTTGAGAAATTTTAGAGGGCTGTTATTGTTTTAGTTTTAGACGGCAGAAAATGATGTACATACATTCTTGAGGGTTTTATATCTGAACTGCTTTCAGGTAACACCAGGATTCGGTTGAAGTAAGCCTAGAGATGTGCCGCTCAAATGGGTCGGATCTTTGGATTTTCTTTCCCTTACCTGAATTATCTAAACTACTTCGGTTAGAATTCGATTAACTTTCGATTTTAGTAGATTTAGTTTAAATTTGAGTTTGACTTGATATCTTAACGAATTGAGTCGAATAATAACCTCCATATCATGTTTTAATGGAGAGTTAGTCGAATTGAGTTGGAGGTTTATAGGATGCAATGCAAAACATTCAAGCATCTTCGACATAACATGCATGTGAGCGTAAATGAGATCATATTATATATGGTCAACAAGGTATTGATTTCGGTAGTCAAGTTGAGTCAATGAAGGTAATGATGGGTTCAAATACCTTAAGTACTCTATTACAGCATTTCGAAGGAGGATCTCAAAGTGGAGTGATGTTCTGTACACTTCCTATTCAACAAACAAATAAAGACGGTCAAGGCGGACGACCACGACGTACACGATGAGTCACGCACCATTATTATTCAACCACTGCTCGACATCTTTAAGAATTACGAAAATATATATAAATTTTATTATGCATTATATTAGTTTGTAAGAACTTTTATTATTATTATTATGTAATAAAATTATTTTTATATATTAAACAATTTTTAAAATTATTTTTTAAAATTAAATTTGACAAAACTCACCACATCGACGTGACGAGTTTCAACGGTTAATTTTTTTTTAATTCAAAAGTTGTATGTTGCCCAACGAATATCTTATGTATTCTACGTTACTCGTCACCTTACTGTGATGAATTTCTTTGTTTTTCTTTATTTTTTTTAATTATTTATAGAATTTTAAAAAATAAAATTATTTCCAATGGGACTCGTCACCTTGAAGTGACGAGTTTCTGGAAGTATATTATAATATTGACTCACGTGGGGTTAACGGAACTGAGACCATTAAAAAAATATGTTTTTGACCGAACTCTTCACCTCAATGTGACGAATTTATGTTTCACTATAGCATTTACCGTAGATTACAAAATAAATTTGTGACTCGCTTATTGGGCCAATTAATTTACCCATTTGGAGTAATAGGCCGAAAACCATGCTCTCAATTCAAAAGGCCCATACCCATTCATCAATGAAAATAATAGCAATTGGAATTTAAAATTTAATTGTTTGAAATTGTTGTAAAGTGATTTTAAAAAGATAAAATATCCATTATAAATAATTTAATATTAATTTTAAAAAATGTCGTAGAAAAGAGTTTTTAAAAGTGCTTTCAAAAGTGTAGTTTAAAATTTAATTATTTGGAATTGATTTTGTAAAGTGATTTTGAAAGGATAAAAAATCCATTATAGACATTATGTTGTAAATTAACAATATAAAATTAATTTTTTTTAACAAAACAACTAATTTTATTCAAAATAGGAAATATCCCGAATTACAATAAATATTTACAATCAGAATCGTAAATTAACACATAACTGGAAAATTTTCCTATAATCATTAAAACAAAACTAGCAACTTAAGATCATAAGTATCATACGAGGAAAGATTAAAAATCTAAAAAAGAAACTTGAACAAATATAGATACAAATAGATTTGATGCATTGGTAAACAAATCGCAAATGAGGATCAAACTATTGAAAGACACCGACAAAATTACAAATCAGACTCAAGCGACATGAAAAGCTATACACGAATGCAAAACGGGTACCCAAATCCACTATGAGGGTCCAAAACAAGGAAGAGCAACAAGATATCAGATAAGCTTCATCTTAATCAGTCGTGACGAAGTGAAATAAACCTTTAGAAAAAGATAAATGAAAAAAAGACCAAACGAACGAAAAATATGTCAAAAGATAAAAGAAAATATGCCACAAAGGCAGATGAAAACGTGCCATAAAAGTATATGAAAATGTGTCATACAGACAGACTCACTGAAAAAATAAATAGAAACACAATATAAGAAAGGAAAAAGGCAATAAAGAAATACCAGCAGTCGGCAACCAATATTAAAGTTTGTATCACAGTCGATCAATAAAGACGAAAAAGAAAAGAGATGAGATACACACCAAAAAAGAAAAACTAGGTTTTTCAAAAGAGATATATAATTTAAATTATATTTACACTTATTAATCCTATTATATATAAAATATATTTTATAATAACTCACTACTAATATGGCAAATAAATTATTTTTTAAGGATATTAGTATTAAATTATTAAAATAAAATGTAAATACATAATTGACTAGAGCAATAAAATTATAATTTATTTCCAAACCTAAAATTAAAAATAACTAGAAATCATAACTTTTACGGTTTGGTTAAAACCACCGTTTACATCATATTTTTTATAATTTTACCGATTTGACATTGATTTTGCGTTCAGATTCTTATAAAGGTAGCCTTGAAATATGGCAAATGGCTTATTCTCACCCAAATCACTAGTATTTTTCTGCAGATGCCAAGCCCATATTAACAGCCAATGTGTTTGTTTAAGACATGAGATGCAGCATTCTGCCTAATTGAAGAATAAACAATATCGATTTGGGCCATTTCTTTTTCCTTTCTTTCTGGGGTCCAGGAATCCACAGCGAAACGCATGGACCTTGGGATTTTCTTTTTAAAAGGTTAAATGCATTTTAGTTTTTTAAAATTATGTTTTATTATCATTTTGATATTTAAAATATTTCTCTGGGTTTAATTTAACTTCTCAACACGATTAAGCGACTTCAGTGATAAATGAATCGTTGTTATTTCTCGAGATTTCGGATTTGAACACTAAGAATGAAATATCGAGAGTGTCAACACTAAATATCAAAGGATGAAAAATTATTGATGAACATATATTACCTTATACTTATCTCATATTAATAAAAAAAAATTCCCAATTAGTTTAACTTTTGAATATAAAATTTGTTATTCATAACCGCTTCAAATAATAAATAATAAAAATATTAATTCGTAATTAGTTCAAATCAAATTAGAATATTAAAAGTAAAATTATAAAATAATATTAGATTCTGTTTATATTCCTTTTTTTAAAAATATTAAATATACGCATATATCACTCGTTGGGTATGGAAGAGAGGATCGTTAAGCAAGGCGGTGGGAAATGGAATATAAGACGTTAAGTTCAAATATTCATTTTTTTATATCTTTTCTTGACCAAGAAAGACGAACGCAAACAACTCTCTCGAAGAGCCAAATTCTGCCTCTTCTTTCTCCCGCGACCGTCCATTTCCAATTCCCCTTCTCAAACCCTAATCCAAATTGTTTCATCTTAATTCCCGCCCTGAAACCCTAATCATCCCCCTCCCCCTCTTTTTAATAGAGTAAGAACTTTTTCTTTTATCTCCCCCCCCCCAAAATCAAAACGAAGACTCGCCACCATTAACTGCCTTGAAAGAAAGGTCTCTTTGATGTGTGTGAGTGTATGAGTTAGTATGCGAGTGTTCTCGATTCCATAATTTTGGGTTTTAATTGTTTGACTTATTTAAACCTCTGGGTCTATTTTGAAGCTTATTTTCTTTATTTATTGATCCATATTCCGAGTTGATCGAACAAAATATTTTTGAAGAAAAATCGTTGTTTTCAGTTTGATTCTCTGGGTTTGTTTTGTATTCCATATTCTTGAAAGCTTTTCGCGGGCTTTAAGGTCTTTTTTTATTTATAAAAAAAGGTTGCTAAATTTAAAATTCTAATTCTTAAGCAAGTTTTATCGTGTTTGATTTGTACAAAGTCTTGGCGGCTTTTTCTATGTGATTTGTTTTTTTCCTTTTCCCCCCCTTTCCCCTCGATTGTGTACTTATTTAATAGTAAGTACAATCCAATTGTTTTTTCTTGTTCCTTTTGCTATATGATATCTATTACAGTTGTTTTAGAGTAATAATTCAGCCTTAATTTTGTTGTTTTATTTTTAGTTCAATTTTATCTAACATTGAACAGAGTTTTTCTCTCTCACATATTTCACCATATTTTTGTTTTAAGCTTTGCAAACCGACTGAAATTTTGCTTCGGAAACTGGTTTGTTATTGTAAAAGTCTAAATTGCTTTATTTTTATTTATGTTTTGCTTATTGTGTTTTCACAGGAGCCATGGATATTAATGTTGGAGACAAAACACTGGAACTAAATGGGAGGGAAGATCTTAAGAGGCCTTTGCTGGAGCCTTCAGATAGTGTTTACGTGACTATACCTGAACCTATGGATAAGTCTGGAAAGAAGAGAACAGTGATGTTCAAAATTGGGGATATCAAGTGTGCATCTTGTGTTGCTTCCATAGAAGCTGTGCTTGGAGAGCTCAAGGGTGTTGAGAGTGTATCAGTGTCGCCAATTCATGGTCAAGCAGCAATTGAGTATGTTCCGACGCTCGTTAATGTAAGTTTTAAGAGTGATTTATGGTCACTATAGAAAACTTTTAATTCCTTCCCTTCATTAAGTTCCAACTTATTTATTGTTTTACTGTTATTCTTTGGAGCCATTGTTTATAATGCTGCTCACATTTTTTGTTGCTTGAACCTTTGTTTATTTTGTTTTAGACGAAACTGATTAAAGAGACAATAGAGGATGCTGGTTTCCCTGTGAAGGAGTTTTCAGAGCAAGAAATAGCAGTCTGCCGGCTCAGGATTAAGGGAATGGCATGTACAAGCTGTTCAGAGTCCCTTGAACGTGCTCTGAAGTCCCTCGATGGAGTTAAAAAGGCAGTGGTTGGTCTAGCTCTCGAAGAAGCGAAGGTTCACTTTGATCCAAATGTTACTGATTCTGATCGCATCGCTGAAGCAATAGAAGATGCTGGATTTGGAGCCGATCTCATTAGTTCTGGAAATGAAGTGAACAAAGTACATTTAGAACTTGATGGAGTGTCATCTGTGGAGGAGATGAATACTATTAAGTCCTACCTTGAGTCAGCCATAGGTGTAAATCACGTAGATATGGACTTGGAAGAAAACATGGTCATAGTCAACTATGACCCAGACCTCATTGGTCCGAGATCTCTTATTGAAGCTGTAGAAGAAGCTGCTCATGGATCCTACAAGGCGAGCTTGTATATACCTCCCAGACAAAGAGAAACTGAGCAGCAGCATGAAATTAATTCCTATAGGGATCAGTTCCTTTTAAGCTGCTTGTTCTCAGTTCCTCTGTTTATATTCTCCATGGTACTTCCAATGCTTCCTCCTTTTGGTAATTGGTTAGAGTATAAGATTTACAACATGTTTACTGTTGGGTTGCTTCTGAGATGGATTCTTTGCACACCAGTACAGTTCGTCATTGGCCAAAGGTATCGGTGTTCATTTTCCTGTTTTATTAACTACTACTTCTGTTATTGGTGTTCAACATTTCCATTCCTCAGAGGTGGCATTCACTCTCATTATATAACCAGTCATTCAGCATAACAATTCTGTCTTTTGTTGTCTTTGTCAGGTTTTATAAAGGGTCATACCATGCATTGAGACTGAAATCTGCTAATATGGATGTTTTAGTAGCCATGGGAACCAATGCTGCATACTTTTACTCTGTTTATGTAGCAATTAAGTCTCTAAGCTCGGACACATTTGAAGGGCAAGATTTTTTTGAGACAAGTGCAATGCTGATATCCTTTATTCTCTTAGGAAAATATTTAGAGGTGTTGGCTAAAGGGAGAACGTCAAATGCTTTAGCCAAGCTGACAGACCTTGCTCCTGATAGCGCTTGTTTGCTGACATTAGATGATGATGGAAATGTTGTCTCAGAGGTTGAAATCAGCACCCAACTAATACAAAGGAATGATATAATCAAGATCATTCCTGGGGAGAAGGTTCCTGTCGATGGCATTGTCATCGATGGTCAAAGCTACGTGAATGAGAGTATGATCACAGGGGAGGCACAACCTATTGCTAAAAAGCTTGGTGACAAAGTATTATTTTATTTCCTTTTTTATGATTTTAATGTAGGCCTGACTTTATGAATGCTGAATTTTTTAATTCAATTCTTATGAGTAGGTCATTGGTGGAACTATGAACGAGAACGGATGCTTGCTGGTCAAGGCTACTCATGTTGGGTCAGAGACTGCACTTTCCCAAATTGTTCAGCTCGTTGAAGCGGCTCAGCTTGCTAGAGCACCTATACAGAAAATTGCTGACCGGATTTCTCGGTTTTTTGTTCCTGCAGTATGTTTCCGTTTCCTAAAAAAAATTATACTATTTTTATTGCACTTTCATTTTTTTTTTCAAAATATTAAAAGGTTTCTGTTTATGTTTCCGTTTCCTTAAAAAATTATATTATTTTTATTGCACTTTCATTTTTTTTTTCAAAATATTAAAAGGTTTCTGTTTCCTTCCTCAAATTTTTGTTTATATCTCTAGTTGTGAATTGCTAAAAGAATGTAGTATTTTTTTGATCCAATATCAGATTGTTATCACTGCATTTATAACTTGGTTGGGATGGCTTATCCCTGGAGTTATTGGTATTTACCCTAAACATTGGATTCCAAAGGGCATGGATAACTTTGAACTGGCACTCCAGTTTGGTATTTCAGTGCTTGTGGTTGCTTGCCCATGTGCTCTAGGACTAGCAACCCCTACAGCTGTCATGGTTGCCACAGGGAAGGGTGCTTCACTTGGTGTGCTTATTAAGGGTGGAAATGCACTTGAGAAGGCACATAAGGTAAAACCATTTTTGTTTAGAAACAACTAAGAATGGGTTAAGATTGAAATTGGGTTGATAATTTGGCATATATGAGTTTCACAATCATGATTGAGCATCATAAGCAACTTTCTATCTCTTCTGAAAAATTTGACGATTGATAACTATACTTGGTTTGAAATAGCATTAACTGAAAACATAACTCAACTTTGTTATTACAAGAATTGCAAATCCTTGAAATTGCAATATTTTAAGTGGCAATCATTTTCAGAAGTTATCTACTGTAGGTTCATTCCTTGATAATTGTTTTTTGCTTAGGAAAATATAAATTTTTACTTTTCAAACTATATATCAACTCAACATTTTCTAAAAATGTTGGGATTGTTCACATTTTTGGTAATTCTGTATGTTTGCTTTTGGTCGTGTGTTTTTTAGGAGGTAGTTGTTGAGTAGGGTATGGTCATTGATGTATTTATGTAGTTAATGCAGCCCGTTGCTGAGGTAGTTGTCAACGGGTCTGGTTGTACTGTACTCTTCTTGTATTTGGTGGTTATGAAATAAAATCTTAAGACACTCTTTTCCTCCTTCCAATGTCCGTTGAGCCACTCTTGGTGCTTGACGGATTCAAAGAGGTTTTTTAATGAGGCTTCCTATTTATATAAAAAAAAACATTTTCTAAAAATGTGAATTTCTTTTAAAAAGCATGGCCCGTTGATTTTATATTTTCATGATTGTTGTTTTTAGCGAAAGACCACTTCTTCCTTTCAAATAACCTGTATATCAGCATTTATAAACTTTTTCAGTGTCATTCATTCATAATTCTATATTGAAATTATTGACCTTGTTCAGAATTCAGAAGGGTTGTTTATTGTCTTAGCCTTACAAGTCCTTTAACAACAATACAATGCATTGGGCAAAAAATATGTATAATAATACAACGAGCAACTAAGTCTTGGAAGTTGGAAAGATTTAATATAACAAGTTCCCTTGCAGATGGCTGTTGCAACCTGAACTACCTTTTCCCTGTCTTCTGTAGGTGAAAGCAATTGTGTTTGATAAGACGGGGACATTGACAGTTGGGAAACCTGAGGTTGTAAATGTTGTGCTCTTTTCAAGTGTGTCGATGGGAGAATTCTGCGATGCTACTATTGCTGCAGAGGTACATACCTAGTTTTTTGTATTCTGATTATATTTACTGAAGTTGCTAGGAAACGAAAACAAGAAAGGTTGATGAGAAAATTGGATAACATTAATTGTACACCTGAATCCGGATTTTTTTTAAATTTTTGGTTTTTGAGGAGTGTAAATATTAAACCAAAGCTTATAATTGAAAGAATGTTCAATACTATATATTAGATTTAACCAAAGTGGAAGTGTTTCTTTCTAGGTATGACTTCTTGAATGGTGCAAAATGCCTCTGAATGACTTAAGCTAGTATATCCAAGCTTTTATTGGTTTATTGCTATCGATTGAGTCTTCAAACATCTATTTCATCTGTTTGATCCCTCGATGACCTCAACCAATTCCATCCAATTGATTGCTCAATCAGGTGAAAATAGATGTTTGAGGGTTCAATTTATTGCAGTAAGATATGGATTTGGATGGGTTTTCTTAACTACATGCATATGTATAGCATAGGGGATCTTTTACATTTAAGCCTTAAAATTTCAGGCAAATAGCCAGCATCCAATAGCCAAAGCTTTCCTGGAGCATGCTAGAAAATGGCGTCAGAAGATAGAACTTAACAATCAATCCAATAACCAACATCTTACGGAGGCAAAGGACTTTGAGTTGCACCCTGGCACTGGGGTGAGCGGGAAAGTTGGTGACAAAATGGTCTTGGTTGGTAACAAGAGGCTTATGCAGACTTACGATGTCACATTTGGTCCTGAGGTTGAGGGATACATTTCAAAAAATGAGCAGCTGGCTCGAACATGTGTCTTAGTTGCCATTGATGGTAAAATTGCTGGAGCTTTTGCAGTAACTGATCCAGTGAAACCAGAAGCTGAGCATGTCATATCATATCTTCGCTCAATGGGCATCTCAAGCATCATGGTAACTGGTGATAACTGGGCTACTGCAAATGCCATAGCAAAAGAGGTTGGAATAGAGAAGGTGATTGCCGAAACAGATCCTTTGGGAAAAGCTGATAGGATCAAAGAATTGCAGGCAAGCTTCTTTTCTTTTCCCTCTCATTTTGATTTTCTCTTTTACATGGCTTGATTCAATGCAAGAATATTTGTTGTGAAATGCTTGACATTAGAAAGTAGAAAAGTACATTTATCATATGCTTATGAATGATAATATTCTGAGGCATGGTGTTATTTTAATTTTCAATATATAAATTGGGATGAAGGGTGGAGGTAAGAAAGAGAGCTTCATATCTGGTTAGCTTGAAAAAGTGACTGGAAGGGCTTCAAAGTAAATTATAGTTTAACCTACAAGTTCAAATCTTCTTGCATGAAATAGATAAACATCATTTGATTAATTTTTTCTTGGGATGTAGATGAAAGGTTTGACTGTTGCTATGGTTGGAGATGGAATAAACGACTCCCCTGCTTTAGTCGCAGCTGATGTAGGCATGGCAATTGGTGCTGGTACTGATGTAGCCATAGAGGCAGCTGACGTAGTACTTATCAAAAGCAACTTGGAGGACGTAGTTACGGCCATAGACCTGTCCAGAAAGACCATTTCACGCATTTGGCTTAACTATGTGTGGGCCCTTGGTTATAACATTCTGGGCGTGCCAATTGCTGCTGGAATCTTATATCCTTTCACTGGAGTCAGGTTACCACCTTGGCTAGCCGGTGCATGCATGGCCGCCTCCTCTCTTAGCGTCGTTTGTTCTTCTCTCTTGCTGCAGTCTTATAGGAAGCCTTCGGTATTTTAAGATACAAAAGAACACAACCATTTCTACAAATCTACGTGATGGCATATTTTCTGGTAATTCATATCTGATCGAATGATATCGGTCTTTAACATGTAAGGCCCTTCGATTGTTACAGATTCCAGCTTCTGAATCAGTCAATTTTATTGCTAAGCATTTGTTGCAAGTTGCAACCATGGCTAATATCACATGTTCTCGAAAATGGGTACTTCAGGAAACTAGGATACCATTTAATAAATTTAAGTTTGTTATTTCGGATTATTGGATCATTCTGAGCCAGATGTTTGACATACATGAAATATTATGGATATAAACCTCTATATTATAGGGACACAAACTATTTCATGCTGTAATAGCCTTGTAATGCATATGAACAAAATTGGGGATTGAAGGGATTTAAACCTCGGTGTACTGGGTGTTTATAAGAGTGGATTACCACTTAGATTGACAACATATTATTTGGTTACATGATTAAATTTATTAAATTGAATTAAAATTATAACTAAAATGATAAAATAGTTAAATAGTAAACACCAAATATATAATTATATAAATTTATTTAATTAAATCAACATTTTGTTAACAATATATAGTTTAATTGATAGTATTATTTAAAATTTTAAAATATTAATTAAAGATACATATATTCAATGATAATATTTTACTATATATATTCTATTTGAGCTACTTTTAGTGTAATTTGAAACATAAAGAGGAATCAGATGAATTAGAAAACTTACGAAAAATATTAGAATAAAATTATTTGAATAATTGTAAAAATATTTTTTTTATTTCAAATAAACATTTTAAATAATTTTCTTTCCAAAAAATATCTTGAAGAAAAAAAAATTCCCTTTCATTTTAAATTTCCACTTATTAATTTGAAAAAAAAAATTACCTACTCTATAACAATTTAAAAGAGATTATTTTCAGGTGTATCAAAATCTAGTTCCATGTTCTGTTACCATTCAATGGGAGGTTCCCTTCCACAATGTTTATGCATATACTGCTCCACATTCTTCGTGGATAGCTTTGTCGGACAACTCCATCTCGGTTCGAACCTTTCACAAGATGTTCGATACCGGTACGGAGGATTCCAAAGGCCTGTTCTGAATCAGAGGCGTTTTGCATCTGCAAGTTGCAATGCAGCACTGCGGCATCCCATGGCACAGACATGCGAGTGAACTATGATCTCTCGTTTGTCGGTTCGAGTTCATTGCCTTTATGTGTCCAGGCTCCATCAGAGAAAGCCATTTCGGGTTTCGCTATTGATTTTCTCATGGGCGGAGTCTCTGCTGCTGTCTCCAAAACTGCTGCTGCACCTATTGAGCGTGTCAAGCTCTTAATTCAGAACCAGGATGAGATGATTAGGGCCAGTCGGCTTTCCGAACCTTACAAGGGAATTGGTGATTGCTTTAAAAGAACAATGGCAGAAGAAGGCGTGATGTCATTGTGGAGAGGAAATACGGCTATTGTGATCCGTTATTTCCCAACTCAGGCCTTGAATACTTCAAAAAGCTGTTCAACTTTAGGAAGGACTGTGCTGGCTACTGGAAGTGGTTTGCTGGGAACTTGGGATCCGGTGGTGCAGCGGGTGCCTCTTTCCTTCTCTTCGTCTATTCCCTGGATTATGCTCGGACTCGTCTTGCCAACGATGCCAAAGCTGCAAAGAAAGGAGGGGAGAAGCAATTCAATGGCTTGGTTGATGTATACAAGAAGACTCTTCAGTCGGATGGTATTGCTGGCCTTTACTGCGGTTTCAACATTTCATGTGTCGGCATCATTGTGTACCGAGGTCTATACTTCGGAATGTATGATTCTTTAAAGCCAGTGGTCCTTGTTGGCAAGTTGCAGGTTAGTAGATTTCTTGGTGGTCTTTTGGACTAGAATTTCCCTTCATTCTTTGGGTTTCTTTGCATGAAGCAACATTCATACCATTTTGTGGTAATAACTTGAAGCTAAAGGAATTTTATCACATGCATTTTTGTAAAATATCACGATAGCTTCTTTGCCAGCTTTGCTCTGGGTTGTGTTATTATAAATGGTGCTGGTCTTGCCTCCTATCCGCTCGACACCGTCCGCAGAAGAATGATGATGACATCGGGTGAAGCCGTCGAGTACAAGAGCTCAATGGATGCGTTCACCCAGATCCTTCAGAAAGAGGGCACAAAATCTCTGTTTAAGGGTGCCGGTGCAAACATTCTGCGTGCAATTGCTGGTGCTGGTGTGCTTGCAGGCTATGATAAGCTCCAGATGATTGTTTTCGGAAAGAAGTATGGTTCTGGTGGGGCATGATCATGCCAACTACAGATGATGAGCTCCAAATCCATTCGCAATTTTATTTATTACATTCCATGATTTTGCCTTGCTGGTCGCATATATATATAATATTTTTCTCATTTGAATAACTTAGTTTAGAGGGGTTGTCCAGCCTCCTAGAAGAATATTGTGGTGCTCTTGGGATGAAAATTTTTACCCCATTTATCTTAACTATCCGAGTGGTTGTAACCTTACGTATTACATCACTACTTTTTGGAATTATATTCACCTTTTGGTTTTCTAATTCCTTTTTACAATCAATCATTACATAATTGAGCTATGGAACCAACAAACCAGAATGTATACGAACAATGATCGCAAGTGTCGGCATCATCGAGTACAGGTGCCACCAATGTCTTGAACTGTGCTAAAATCATCAGTACAGGCTGCATGCTCTTAAGAAAGACGTAGTTGGTCGACTCCGTTATAGTTGCCGAGCCTAACTGGGTTTGACTTTAGATGTGTTCGATGCAGAACTTTTGGATTATCTTTAACCAATGGCAATGGTAATGTTTCTTTTCACTGTTGTGTTCATTGGATTCATGATAGAGCATGCATATGTGATAATTGGAGCAATCAAGAACCAAACACTATTATGTGGGTTCGACATGTAGTTTAAGGAAAAAATTAATACCAAAGGTAGTAGATGTGTTCAAAGAAAGGGATACAAAGCATTCAACAGGCTTTCAGACATGGCTCTTAGGTGCAATCAAGCCGAGCCTACATGTTGTCGAAGATCTCCCGTTTTAGGGACACGAATCGGGTCGGTAAGCTAACGGGACATTTGTTTCGTTACTCTTGAACCTGTACATAATGTTGGGAGTTTAGATTTTAGACAGATTTTCCTTATTCAGATGCCCTTAATCTCTGGACTCCTATAGGAATAAATTAACCTTGGAGCTGACTGAAAAGCCATATTTCATTCACCTGCTGATGCATAAAGCTGTTTAACATTATTACTAGGCCACAGGAAAGAATTCAGAGTTGGAGAAATGGCATCTTCAGTGTACTACTTTCTATTCACTGCTTAGCAGCAGACGCAGAATTGAGGCTAACTGCCATCTTGATGAGTTTGGTTTTACTGCTTGGGTTTTGCCACTTTAAAGATTCCGTTGAGGCGTTGACACAGTGTAGAGACAAAAAGAATGTCGGAGGAATATAATGATTGGCAGGCCAGTGATGGATTACTTGCACTCCTAGTTTGGTTTTGTTCTCTCTCTCACTCATAATTATTTGTCTGCTTTCTCTGCATCTCTCTCTCCCACATGCCTTACAGCTTTTGGTTCGTGGAAGACGGAATGGCAGTGATCAGGATGGACCGAGGGGCGGGTTAACTTACATTTAATATTTTTTAATGTATTTTTTATGTAAACAAAATTGTTGACATAACAATTTTTTTTAATGATAATACGACATTAAAATAACACATCAATAAGATCATTAACTTTCTAACGACGAATGAATAAAACATAATATTCAGTATGATTTTAAAAGAAATAATTAAATAATCAAAACGAAAGTATAAAAATAAATGGATGACTAGATAATTTATGAAAAAAATATTATTGCATAATCATATATGATGGGAAATTAACAATCTATAAAAAAATATATTGTCAATTGTGTCTATTTTATGATATTTTTAATTCTAAAATAGGCTTGGTCTCTATGGTAAATTCTGTGTGCTACCGCGAGACATGGTATCATTTCCCATCAAAAGTTTTTAAACGGAGTTTGCGTGTTGCTGAAACAACTGCATAAAGGAGCCACTGCTACTTCCCTGCTGGATTAATAAATAAAAAACAAAAACAATAAGATGGAAAGAGTGAGAGGGTTTGCTAAACTGATCTTAAAATAAAAGCGATGAATGTCGGCTGGTAACCTCTTTAATTTCTCAAAGAATCTCTTCTTTTCAAGATTTGTTTTCCCAATTTTCTTCTTCTTCTTATATATTTTCACTCTGTTCTCTTTCTGGTGATCCTTTCTATCCATTTGAAGTTCTCTCGCAAGAAGATCTCGCATTTCCTCTGATGAAGATCTCACAATCATAGAATGAGGTAGTTCGTTTTAAGTTTTTTCTCACTCACATTTTCACCTATTTGGTTGCTCAGAAAGTTCAGTTTCAGCGTCTAAGCAAGCGGAAAAGTGACCGTCTCCGTAGAAGGTTTAATCGGCTCTGACTGAGCTTAACTGTAATTTCCTTCTCTTTGTTCCTTTTTTTTTCTTGCATTTTCTCCGTTACCAAACGCGAAGTTAAATTTTTTGTTTTGAACATTGTCATTTACTTGAATATTTGCTAACACGTTACGCGTTTTGTTGCAGTAATTGGATCTCATTGTTTCAATAAACTTGTTCTTCTACGCATTATGTATTTATTTAGAGAATTTCTTCTGGAGATTTTATTCTATATAATTTACATTTTGATCTTTATTTGTTATAGTCTTGTATGATTCTTCTGCCAAAGCTAGAATACTAAAATTCACTAGTAACAGTATTTTTGTTTTGTTTTGAGGAGATCATTTTTTTTTATTTTGATTATTTTGTTATCATTGTTTCTACTGCTCATTGCAAATTTGAATTGTCAAATTTTATGTTTGCAGATTTGTTGGATTTTTGGAAATGAGTTGGGATCCACATATGGAGGTTCAATACATCAACAGTAACTACCCTTATAACAGTGCTGGCAGCTTTATGGAATATTTTGAAGGTCTTACTTATCAACATGTCAATTTTATTTTCAACGGTGCTACCCATGTCCAGGTACCGTTTATCATCAAAAAAAAGTTTTTCAATGTACTGAAGTGATTCCTTTAATGTCTTTGTGTTTTCAAGAACAAATTAATCAGATAAAAAAACAGGTTGACTTTTCAGATGAGTTGATTGTAATTGATCCTCTGTTTATATTATTTTTAGTTTGTGAACAGATTGTTACTATTGGTGACATCCAAAAGTTGAATTTCTGTCTGTAGGAGAGTGTGTACCCACCAATGACTTCAAACTTCTACAAGTTTGGCCTATCTGATTCTGGCAGTATTTCATATTATGATTATGATAATGATCATAGTTACGAGGTGAATAACCATGAGCTATGCATTGATGAATTTAGAAGGGCGTCAGAGAATTCCTCATCAATGAGTAATCAACAGAGTGCAGCAATGAATGTGGAATGGGAAAGAAACACAAATTCAACCTCGCGTGAAAACTCAGTAGATTGTAAGTTTCTCAATTCCGCTTTACATTATTGTTTCAGTTCTGCTTTTGAAGGTATTTGATATAATGCTAAAAAAGATGTATAATGATGTCTATCATAACACGTATTTTTAGAATTAGGCCAAGTATTAATGTCAATGGAATGATTCAACTTGGTTTAAGTGTTAACCTTAATGCCTGTTACAGCTCTTTCCTTCTGAAGATTGTTTTTCCTAGTTAGTTATCTTCCCGGCTCTTTGATTTTCTATGGTCATTAACGAATTGTCAAATTGTTTGCAACTTTATGCTTTCTCTGGATTTTATTATTGGATGCTGTATTTTCTAACAATCAAGTTTTCACTTCCAGACAGCAGCTCTGTTTTGATGGATTTTAAACTTTTAAATCATATTTGATTGAAGAGAGATTAAGGATTCAGTGAGCCTCACGATTAGTTGTGTTTATATCTTGTTTGGTCTCAAACAAAAGGTCCTAGTTTAGCAGCTACAGCATTTTCAAACTGTCCAAAGAATCTGTTTTTCCTTGATGATAGTTTTTGGCTTTTCTCCAAGAGGGTGTCTTTGCTCCTCTCTCTCTTAACATCATGAAGTAAAACTAAGTCTCTTTCTCTGTATCACCAGTTCTGGTCATAAAGTGACCATATTCTTATAGCAATAGCTATCTAGGATTCTTGGAAAAAGTTCCCTCATTCTAATTCTTTCACTTTACAGGTCCACGGAGACAACATGATGCTCATGACTACCAGGTGTCTCTCTCTCATATTTTCTTTGTTGAGTACATGCGTGCAACGCCTTTCTTGTACTATGAGTTTTCATACCTATATATGTCAGTAGATTATTTGCATCAGCATCTAATTTTAGGAACTTCAATCTTCCAAGTTTTTCCCTATGCTTTTCCTACTAGTAGAGTTATAGAGGCTTATATCGTAGTAATTTTCAGTTTCATGAATCATGGTTCACAAAGTTAAATGTTGCAAAACGTTGTCAAAATATGCAGGTTATTTGGCAAGATTGCGTCGATCCTGACAGCATGACATATGAGGTTAGAAGAAAAAATTCGTACTTTTTTCTTCCCAGCTTAATAATTGCATCGCTTCTCCGGTTTTCTCAGTAACTTTCCGATTTAACTCCTAATTTGGTGCAATTCCGAGTTCAAGAAAAAGAGAAATCCAATGCAGTAATTGGTTCAATGTTTGTCAAGATGCATTTGAAGATTAAACACTGCCGAAAATTAATAAGTGGGGTGCAGATTTGGTCTGTGTAATTATTCCTTCAAACCGATTCAAACCAGCCATTGGGTTTGTGAGCAACAAATTAAAATTGAACAAACCTATTTGGACATTTTCATACATTTCTAGAAAACATGGGTTGTGTATTTGTGAATTATTTTTGGATTTCTTTAATTGATTAATCATTCATGATTACAATTATCATTTTAGGAATTACTTGAATTAGGCGAGAGTGTTGGAACACAAAGTCGGGGTCTGTCCCAAGAACTTATTTCTTTGCTACCCGTTTCAAAATACAAGTGCAGCTTATTTCCAAGGAAGAAATCAAAGAATGAGAGGTAGTGCATATGCTTTTACTTTTGTCCCTGTTAAAATGTGATTTTTTTTAATCAGCTGCCGCAAATGGTATTCAACAGATTTTAAATTGAAATACACGACAACCCTAAATTTTACTGGTTTGGGAGGTCTTGTTAGTATATGTGAGAATGTGTTGGTCTAATTAGTTGTGTATGAATAATATGCATGCCTTGCTTGCACGTTCTTCATATACCGGTGAGATTTGCAACTGTTTTTAGCATATGGATTCCACTCCCCTCCTTTTGTTTCTTCCCCTTTCTCTCAGCCAATGCGGTGAATCTCATTATTATGATTGTTGTTTTTGGGGGACTAGATGTGTAATTTGCCAGATGGAATATAAAAGAGGTGAGAGACGGATTACACTGCCTTGCAAACATGTCTACCATGGTGGATGTGGCACCAAATGGCTTAGCATCAATAAGGTAACCCACTGACTCTCATGATTGAAGCTTTATTATATTTATTTAGGAAGCCTGCTAATTGAAGCTTTATTTCTCCAGGCTTGCCCTGTATGTTATACAGAGGTATTTGGCGATGGATCAAAACATTAAGGGACTATCACGATGAACATAAAAAAATTTGTTTGCTTTTGATCGAATTGGATTTGGGTATTTCCCTTAATGCGAAGATGTTCAATTTGGGTAGAAGATGGTTGTGTAAATTTTGCATGCTATTTGTTATTTTCCGGTTATTGTTCATTTGCTACGCATTTCCATCACACGCTTTTGAGAAAGTGATCAACCATTTAATCACAATAGAATTTCCAAATTGCTTCTACTCATCTGATGGAATGTTAACCGGCACCAGCCTGCATGTTGAGTTTAAAACCATATTATTATACCACAAAAGTCATAATCAGACCTTTTCTTTCAGCTTCGACGCGTTGGGGTTTTTATTTTATTACATTCTCCTCCTCCTTACTACTACAACTCACCATCTCCGTCACCACCGCCTCCTCACCACTACAAGTCTCCACCCTCACCTAGCCCTAGTGGCAGATGCATTCATGGTTGAGGGTAGGCACATGCCCACCTTAAAATCCGAATTTTCTTCGATTAGTTACATATTTTATTGATGGTGTTCACCCTGCAATTTTATTGTGATCACCTTGAAATCTGAATTTTCTTCGATTAGTGACTCATTTTATTAATGGTTTCAACTTGAAATTGTATTTATGTTTACCTCATTCAAAAATTTTATACTATTAACATATATGTGTCCACTCTAAAAAATATTTTTGAATCCGCCGTTACCTTGACCGCCACCACCATACTACTATAAATCACCTCCTCCACCTCCTTATTTTTACAAGTCACCACCACCTCCCTGACCTAGTCCGCCACCACCATACTACTACAACTCACCTCCTCCTCCATCTCATTCTCCACCACCTTCCTATGTTTACAAGTCTCCTCCTCCACCTTCTCCTAGCCCTTCACCATCATACTACTACAAGTCAGAGCCGCCAACATTTCCATCACAACCTTCTCCTTACTATTACAAGTCACCTCCACCCCTTCCCCTAGTCCACCACCTCCTTACTACTACAAGTCACCACCACCACTATCTCCTAGTACCCCACCAACATACTATTACAAGTCACCACCGCCACTATCTCTTTCATACCCACCACCGCCTCCTTCTCAGTCACCTTCGCCACCTTATTATTACTACAAGTCACCACCTCCTTACCACTACTAGTCACCTATCCTCAAGTGAAATCTCCACCTCATTACTACCATACAGGCTACTTAATCTATGTTATTCTTTTAATCTCTTCGTTCGGGTTGAAGATTTGATTTGGAAGAAGAATAATTATTACGTTTTTCAGCATTCTTCATTTATGTATATTGTGTTTGCTTTCTTAACAATAAGGGTCCAATGCTGATAAAGATCCTTGATTAATTCTTTGATAAGGGATGTTCCCTTCCCTTGTACTATTTTGTATCAGCTTCATAGTGATTCTTTGAGCATTTTTCATTGTTAATTGAATTCCATATTGTAACTACCTACAATATGTGCGGGTCATGAATGCACACAAAAATATTTTTAATTTCATTTATAACGAGTAAAATTAAAATATAAAATTTTAATAAGAGAATTGTAGACAATCGACACTAATCAAATGTTACTGATAAGTCGATTTTAAAAACCTGTTGAGTGAAATTTAAATTTGGCATCAATTAATATTGTCCATAAATCATTAATCAAAGGTAAGTTAATGAAATGCTCTTCTTCATGTAAATGTATATAGCACCATATAATTAAATTCCAAAAGTTTGCTGCTAATTAATTATTCTACAGACGCAGAGGCAGTCAAATTAGCATCAAACAATACTTATTGTTTTCTTATGTTTCTTCCCAGTGATTTGCATATCATTAATGCTTTTAACAGGAGAGCCATAGCCATGCATGTATTCTACATACATACATACACACACACAATGAGACAAATATAAGCATAACTAGTTGACATGAAAAGCCTTTCTAGACCTCTTCAATCCCAAAATGACAAGAAGCAATCCGAAATAATCGTAACCATAACTATCCTCCAAGAGTTCCATCTTATGATTGTTCCACGGAGGGAACCTGTACCAAAAATCAGTTAAGAAGCTTCTTCTGACCACTGCCTTGTAGTGGGTAAATGTGTCAAAGCTGAATTTTCCATGGTACTTTCCCATCCCACTTTCACCAATGCCCCCAAATGGAATGGTGTCTGCTGCAAACTGCATTTGATTTTGTTTTGGGGGGGGGGGGCACTAATCATTAGATTTAATGGTTTGGTTGCCAACTTAATAAACTCATTCTAAAGTGCTACTGAGTACCTGAATGATTGCATCATTAAAAACAACACTTCCGGATGATGTTTCGGATACGATTCGCTTCCTCAGCACTTCATTTTTGGTGAAAACATATATCGCCAACGGTTTAGGCCTTGAGTTAATAAAATCTATACCGTCTTCAATCTTATCTAACTGCCAAAACAAACCCTGATTTTTCAAGAGATGAAAAGGGACTGCTCCCTGCAAACTACTACTTCTTGATATTAGCCTATAAACGTCTTTTTCCCCCCGGAGTGTCTCGATATTCCTTACCGTGATTATCGGAAGCAATGGACCGAAGATCTCTTCTGTCATTATTGCTGATTCAAGTGGGGGATCCACTAATATCGTTGGCTCCATGTACCTGCAATGGTTTTGTTAGAACAATCATAATGAAAGTAACATGGGGTTTATCCATCATTCATGGATATTAGGTGAGTTACAAGCTGTCTTCATCCATCGAACCGCCATAGACGATACAGTCTTTAACCTTTTGATCAGTTAAAATGTTTTTAAGTCTCAGGAAATGATGTTTGTTAACTATCCTGGCAACGCTGTGTGATTCTCTAGGGTTATCTCCATACATTGTCCTGATTATGGCCTTCATCAGTTCCACCTGCCAGAAAGATACTCTGTATTTACTATACTATTCAGATTTCATTTAAGAGAAGAAAATGATTATATGATGAATAAAAGAGTTTGACATACTGCAGTAGACGAAAATGACTTCTCCACTAATACATAGTCAATTGATATACAAGCTTGACCCGCACAAGATCCATACTTTGCCCCAATGATTCGTTTTATAGCCACCTTGATAGACGGAAATCGAACCGTTACAGACCGATAAGCATGAAATTTGCAAGCAATCGGAACTTAAAATTTAGTAAAAAAAAACACAAAACCTCTTTGTCCCAAGACCAGGAAAGTGAATCAAGAACAGCAGGGCATTTCCCACCCAGCTCTAGGGTAACTGGTGTTAGATTCTTTGCAGCTTCTGACATTATCATCCGTCCCACTTTTGGACTTCCTACCAAGTTCTACACTCTTAAAATTCCGAAAACCTTACTTGTAAAGCAAGCTAAATCAAGGTAGAAGAACAACATGATTCCCAGTTTTGAATTACATTTTCTATTAACAATCCAATCTGTTATAACTTCATACCTGTGAAGAAAATCTTGTCCCACTTTTGCTGAAGCAGTTGTTGGCCAACAGTAGGGCCACCCTCGATGACCTTGATAGCTTGATTATCAAGGTATTTGGGAAGGGTATTAGCAAGAAGAGAAGAACAAGCAGGGGCCATTTCTGATGGTTTTAAAACGACAGCATTTCCTGCAGCTATGGCTCCTATTAAAGGCTCCAAGGATAGTCCTGTTTATATATGCAACAAAACATACCAATTTATAGAAAATCTGAATTCATGGAAAACGAAAATAAATAATGAAAACTAACCCAAGGGGAAGTTCCAAGATGAGATAACGAGGATAAGGCCAAGAGGCTCAGGAACCAATTCAGCATATGAAAGCAGTGCAATTATAGGAAGTTTAGCCTGTTATTGCCACACACCAGTATATATATATAAGTTCAATACATCGTACACAGCATGCAACTACTAAAACAAGGACGGAGTTAAGGGGAAGTTTTGTTATTTTAATAATTTTAAATTAAACAACAACTATTTTAGATTAAACTCTGTGTTCAGTCATCCAACTATCATTTTGGTTCCATTTTAGTAACCCAACTATTTTTTTTCAAAATCACCACTAACGTTGCGTTTTGGTTTCATTTTGGTCACCCACTGTTAAAAATTAAAGGTGATATTGATGTATCACCATAAGATCATACTATGTCATCATTGAAAATATAAAAAAATGCCACGTCAGTGATTATGATACTTTTTTTTAATTATGGGTGACCAAAATGAATCCAAAACATAACGTTAGTGATGTTTTTGGAAAAAAAGTTAGTCGGTAACCGAAATGATAGTTGGATGACTAAATACGTGGTTTCCCGTTATTTTAAAGACTACAATTTCTTTACTCATTATCAATTACTTCAACAACTATAACGAATGACTTAATTAACTCGTGCAAGAAATAAAAAAAAAAGGTGAGGTTAAGTTTGTATTTTTTTTACTCAAACACATACTCCCTAGAATTTTACAACATAAATCATATCAATTGAACTAAAACTTACTCGATTTAAGCATGCTTAAACTAAAACTAAAAAATGTGAGGTTAAAGAAATGTTTTAGTAAAAGGGATGGGATGCGATGCGAAGGATGATCACCTTTGTGCTTGCGTTCCATCTGTTCAAATTCTCCAATGCAAGATTCACTGATTTCTTTAAGAGTCCTACCTGCAACACAAACAAACAAACGGTTTGGAATTTAATATTGATATAAATTTATTTAAATTTAAAGGACCGACTCGAAAAAAGAGAGGATTATTCGTACCTCGTCTCGAAAAGCTTCGACATAATGCTTCCCTAGATCGAGGTTTAAAGCCCTAAAGATTTGAACCTCATAATGGAGGAGGAAAGATTTCAAGGCTTGGAGCTGAGACCTCCTCCATGAAATAGGCTTGGTGTTGCCATTCCTATAAGACTCCCTCGCCTCCATTATCTGCTTCCCCAAATCTTTCTCCATTGTTTCTTGTTGGACTTATCTTTCCCCATTTCTGCGAATGCATATTTATACAGCTCTATCATGGTTGATGGCTGCCTTATCCCTTTCGGCCAATGGGGTGGGGACTTCATCAAAGCCTCACTCACTGCCTTACTTATTATGCTCTCTGGCTTGTTTTACTTCCCAACTTCCCAACCCTCCTCTTTTTAGCGTATATTAATTGAGTGAAACTGACTAATAAAACTACCAATTATAGACCAAACGTGTTTTCTGTATTTTCTATTTCCTATAAAATAAAAATAATCTCATTTTTTATTATCAAACTATGCTTACTATGGTACGAACCAATGATTTTCGGAAGTAAATGAATTATTGTTATTTCTTGAGATATTGAGTTCGAGCAATAATAATAATATTAGGAGTTTGAGTTTCAAATAGTTGAGAGAATCTCATTTTTTATTTATTAGCAAACTATGCTTATTATGGTACGAACCAACGATTTTCGGTGGTCAATGAATTATTGTTATTCTTTGAGGTTTCAAGTTCGAGCAATCAAAATATTAAGGGTATGAGTGTCAAATAATTGAGAGTGTTCTTTGAATATATACTATATTTAACTTGTCTCAGATTAATTAAAAAAATGCTTATTAACAACTTAAAGAAATAATTATAATATGAGTAAAATTCAAAGTTAGTCCCTTAATTATAGGGTATTTATTTTTTTGAGCTCTTCAATTATAAAATATCATAGAATGGTTATTTTATTTATAATAATAATAATAATAATAATAATTTTCACTCAATTGTTATTGCCAGAGAGAGAGAGCTGGTGGTTTCTACGACTGAGCCGCCAAAGAACATGATAGGTGCTCTGGATATCGGAAACCAACGAAGCCGATAATCATGGGCAGAGGGCGGTTTCAACGACTGAGCCGCCGTGAAAATCACTCGATGAGGTGAGCAACAACGAGTTCCGATAGTTTCACCGCCGAATGAAGGAAAACTTCGATCCGAGAAAACTGCATGTCGATTGTGGTTAAAAGTTACAAGTCTACACAGATTACAGTCACAAATTCTCCAGATTGCAGGTAATTTCAGCCGCTGTTAATTTGGTTGTTAAAACAAAGGCTTGCAGTCAGCTGTGTAGTTTTCATGGAATCCATGTGCTCATTAATGGCATTGGTGCTGTACATAGGAGAATTAATGAGACGAGAAGGGAAACCATCCAGGCCCCCTTATCCTTTCCATTATTTAATTAAGAAATTAATTCACGTATTATAAATTTATAATCCTTACCATATTTCTAAAGTTGCCGCAAAATAATGTTTCAACCAGACGGACGACAGCCACCCCACCAATAATAGCCACGTGATCCAATTTAATAGTCCCAGTCCACTTCCATCTGTCTGTAGTAAATCGTGCTTACAGCTTGCACATGTCAACGATTGTAAAATAAACAAGGACATATTAATAGCCTCATAATGTGGGATTGTCTCAGGAAAGGCGGGTTAATACACGGTTAATATACGGCAGTACCGGATACATTAAAATGTATTTAATAAATTCGGTTTAGCGGTACCTATTATGTTGACAACTAATAATGTTTTAGGTAGAAAATATGAAAAACTATTAAAAAATTTGGTAACCGGTAAACTTTGGTTATCGGTAAGTATCTATCATTTTTATAAAAGTGTCCATACTTTTAACATATCAAGTAAATTTTATCGGTTTTATCATAATGAATCTGGTTTTGTCATATTTTTACTTGTTATATTCTAAAGTATCTATCCTTTTTATAAAAGTGTCCATACTTATTTCACTGTGAAAATATATTTATTATTATCTTTGGTTAATATTGTTAAATTTAAATTCTAAATAATATTTTATAAAATATCAAAACAATCAAATAATTTTGTGTGTAAATGAAATTATTAAATTAATATTGTAGGTGGAAAACATGAAACACTATTAAAAAAATTGAAACATAAATTACATAACTTTAAAAAAAGTATATATCATTTTTATAAAAGTGTATATACTTATTTCACTGTGGAAAACATATTTATTATTATCTTTGGTTAATATTGTTAAATTTAAATTCTAAATAATATTTTATAAAATATCAAAAAATCAAATAATTTTTTGTGTAAATGAAATTATTAAATTAATATTGTAGGTGGAAAACATGAAACACTATTAAAAAATTTGAAACATAAATTACATAACTTTAAAAAAAGTATATATCATTTTTATAAAAGTGTTCATACTTATTTCACTGTGGAAAACATATTTATTATTATCTTTGGTTAATATTGTTAAATTTAAATTCTAAATAATATTTTATAAAATATCAAATAATCAAATAATTTTTTGTGTAAATGAAATTATTAAATTAATATTGTAGGTAGAAAACATGAAACACTATTAAAAAAAATTGAAACATAAATTACATAACTTTAAAAAAAGTATCGATTCTTTTTATAAAAAGTATGGACACTTTCAATATAATAGGTAAAAATATGATGTAATAGGTAGCGCTTATATAATGTAATAGGTATCGTTTATATAATGTAATAGGTAGTTGTAAAGTATCTATCCTTTTTATAAAAGTGTCCATACTTTTTACATTGTGGAAAACATTAATTTAAGGTTATCTTTTGAGTGAGTTTTAAGATATTAATTTAGTAATTATAGGCGTCTAATGATTTATTTTTTACGTTACGATATATATTATTATTATATTAAAAACAATAAACATATATATTACATATTTATTATTATCTTTGGTTAATATTGTTAAATTTAAATTCTAAATATTATTTTATAAAATATCAAAACAATCAAATAATTTTTTGTGTAAATGAAATTATTAAATTAATATTGTAGGTGGAAAACATAAAACACTATTAAAAAAAATTGAAACATAAATTACATAACTTTAAAAAAAAAGTGTCGATCCTTTTTATAAAAAGTATGGACACTTTCAATATAATAGGTAAAAATATGATGTAATAGGTAGCGCTTATATAATGTAATAGGTATCGTTTATATAATGTAATAGGTAGTTGTAAAGTATCTATCCTTTTTATAAAAGTGTCCATACTTTTTTCATTGTGGAAAACATTAATTTAAGGTTATCTTTTGAGTGAGTTTTAAGATATTAATTTAGTAATTATAGGCGTCTAATGATTTATTTTTTACGTTACGATATATATTATTATTAAATTAAAAATAATAAAAATATATATTACATATTTATTATTATCTTTGGTTAATATTGTTAAATTTAAATTCTAAATATTATTTTATAAAATATCAAAACAATCAAATAATTTTTTGTGTAAATGAAATTATTAAATTAATATTGTAGGTGGAAAACATGAAACACTATTAAAAAAATTGAAACATAAATTACATAACTTTAAAAAAAGTATCGATTCTTTTTATAAAAAGTATGGACACTTTCAATATAATAGGTAAAAATATGATGTAATAGGTAGCGCTTATATAATGTAATAGGTATCGTTTATATAATGTAATAGGTAGTTGTAAAGTATCTATCCTTTTTATAAAAGTGTCCATACTTTTTTCATTGTGGAAAACATTAATTTAAGGTTATCTTTTGAGTAAGTTTTAAGATATTAATTTAGTAATTATAGGCGTCTAATGATTTATTTTTTACGTTACGATATATATTATTAATAAATTAAAAATAATAAAAATATATATTACATATTTATTATTATCTTTGGTTAATATTGTTAAATTTAAATTCTAAATATTATTTTATAAAATATCAAAACAATCAAATAATTTTTTGTGCAAATGAAATTATTAAATTAATATTGTAGGTGAAAAACATGAAACACTATTAAAAAAAATTGAAACATAAATTACATAACTTTAAAAAAAGTATCGATCCTTTTTATAAAAAGTATGGACACTTTCAATATAATAGGTAAAAATATGATGTAATAGGTAGCGCTTATATAATATAATAGGTATCATTTATATAATGTAATAGGTATCGTTTATATAATGTAATAGGTAGTTGTAAAGTATCTATCCTTTTTATAAAAGTGTCCATACTTTTTTCATTGTGGAAAACATTAATTTAAGGTTATCTTTTGAGTGAGTTTTAAGATATTAATTTAGTAATTATAGGCGTCTAATGATTTATTTTTTACGTTACGATATATATTATTATTATATTAAAAACAATAAACATATATATTACATATTTATTATTATCTTTGGTTAATATTGTTAAATTTAAATTCTAAATATTATTTTATAAAATATCAAAACAATCAAATAATTTTTTGTGTAAATGAAATTATTAAATTAATATTGTAGGTGGAAAACATAAAACACTATTAAAAAAAATTGAAACATAAATTACATAACTTTAAAAAAAGTATCGATCCTTTTTATAAAAAGTATGGACACTTTCAATATAATAGGTAAAAATATGATGTAATAGGTAGCGCTTATATAATATAATAGGTATCATTTATATAATGTAATAGGTATCGTTTATATAATGTAATAGGTAGTTGTAAAGTATCTATCCTTTTTATAAAAGTGTCCATACTTTTTTCATTGTGGAAAACATTAATTTAAGGTTATCTTTTGAGTGAGTTTTAAGATATTAATTTAGTAATTATAGGCGTCTAATGATTTATTTTTTACGTTACGATATATATTATTATTAAATTAAAAACAATAAACATATATATTACATATTTATTATTATCTTTGGTTAATATTGTTAAATTTAAATTCTAAATATTATTTTATAAAATATCAAAACAATCAAATAATTTTTTGTGCAAATGAAATTATTAAATTAATATTGTTGGTGAAAAACATGAAACACTATTAAAAAAAATTGAAACATAAATTACATAACTTTAAAAAAAGTATCGATCCTTTTTATAAAAAGTATGGACACTTTCAATATAATAGGTAAAAATATGATGTAATAGGTAGCGCTTATATAATATAATAGGTATCATTTATATAATGTAATAGGTATCGTTTATA